AAAAAAAAACCTAAGCATGAACTGGAATTCTAGATTTAGTAAGACTGATTGCATGAAACATGAATAAATTACACTTCTTTACAAGAGCCAAACTGAACAGAATTTGTTATTGAATCCAGTTGCTAAGGACTTAAGAAACTGAATACCTACAGAACTCCTATATCTTAGATATTTCTGGAGAAAGCTGGAACCTAATACAGCTACAAATAAGAAATACAGTAACCAAATTATAGAACATCGCTCAATTTTATGGTGGGATTTACAACATGAGGAAAAAACTAACTGATTTGTTGGAGGGTTAGGGGATGGATGTGGAAAGGTATGCAGAGTTAAACCACAGATTGTAAGGAAAAAATGGCTTCAATTCGTTCTCTTCTGCTAAGATGAAATGAAAATAAGAAGCAGATGTCAAAACCGCAACCACGTGATATTATTCACATTACAGCCACAGCAGTGATACGCCATTCTTCCTTCTGAAGGTGACCACGTGCTTTGTTTTACACTAAGGAAATCAGACATGTGAAAGCCAACTTCTGCTTTTAAAATACTGCCATAAAGTTAAGAGCCAGGCCCAGGTATCCTATGAGAATATCCTAATCAGCAAGCCCAAAAGGAGAAGAAGATTTCTTAACTGCTCCTTTCACAACAACTTCCTTAAGCTCTGAGTCACATTTCTGGAGTCCCTCAAATTATTCTGACTCAAGTACGTTTATCATCCTCGGCTCATGTGCCTACCGACTTCGCACCTTATTAGTTGCCACAGTCAACAAGTCAGAAAGTCTGAGTGTTTCAACTTGTTTGGGAAACTGTTTTCTCGACCGAAATTTTTAAAAATCTCCAAAGGAATTTTTTATAAATTTTTTTTTTCAACGTTTATTTATTTTCGGGACAGAGAGAGACAGAGCATGAACGGGGGAGGGGCAGAGAGAGAGGGAGACACAGAATTGGAAACAGGCTCCAGGCTCTGAGCCATCAGCCCAGAGCCTGACGCGGGGCTCGAACTCACGGACCGCGAGATCGTGACCTGGCTGAAGTCGGACGCTTAACCGACTGCGCCACCCAGGCGCCCCCAAAGGAATTTTTTAAACATCATGCCTTCAGAAAGTAACCTTTCCTTTCTCTGCTACCACAGACTTCCTGTACTTTTCATAAGATCATTTCCATATTGTGGTACTTCTTCTGCCGTGCGGTCATCCGACAACTTGTTCTAGGTCTACACCTATCCTCCAGTACCCTGCAAGCTGCTTTAAGGTCAAACGTGAAGCTGCATAAATCTGAATATTCAAGGTCAACCACCACAGTATCTCCTATGAAAGCAGGCTTTCAAAGATGTTTTGATGTCCTCTACAGGGGCTGGATCAGTAACCTAAATGCGTGCAGTAGGCCTCAGGGTCTAGCAATACGATATGGAGTCGTGAAAACTGTGGCAAACTGGAGAATTTGTGCTCCACGGAAAGCAGGAGTTGCTACTCGGATGAGTTCTGCAGTTGGCAAAGCAAGGATTCAGGTCTGATGTTGCCAGATGTTCTATTTTCTCAAGAAAAACTAGATATTTAGATGACATTTAGATATCTATACGAATTCACCCAATTTTTACACATGGACTAAAAAAACTGTGAACCCTGTGTGGGCTAAAGGAAATCCACATGTGAATCAACTTTGCCCTGCAGGCCACCAATTTTCAACGTTATGCTGTATCATGGCAGCCTTCTCTGGGCCTCTAACTCCTTCTGCCTTATTTACCAGTTCCTTTTCCACCTTGTGTCCCTCACTTGTGGAACTAGACTTTCCTGATATTCCTTCTGGATGTGCTTTCTCTCTCTCCCCTGAACCCCACTGCACTTTGCTTTTATAGCTTTCTATTGTGCTTATCTATGCTGTCTTGTACCACATTTAACTATGTATATCCTGTGCCTCCCACAAGAAAATGTGTTCCTTAGGTCACTTATTATCTTTTTTAATGTTTATTTATTTTTTTGAGATGTGGAGAGAGAGAGTGGGAGAAAGGCAGAGAGACAGGGGGAGAAAGAAAAAAATCCCAAGCAGGCTCCATGCTGTCGGCCCAGAGCCCGATGCGGGGCTCGATACCATGAACCGTGAGATCATGACCTGAGCCGAAATCAAGAGTCGGACACTTAACCGACTGAGCCACCCAGGCACCCCAAGTCACTTATTACTATAACAATAACATCACTGGTTGAGTTTTGTGTCGGACACGCACTAAGTAAGCACTTTACACAAATCGACTCATCCACCCTTTCAAAGAGCCCTAATATGTAAGTGAGGAATCATTAAATTCGACTCCTGAAATCAATACCACACTGTATGTTAATTAATTTGAATTTGAATAAAATGTTGGAAAGAAAAAAAATTTTTTAATAAAAAATAGTAAAAGATAAAAGAGCCCTAAAGAATATTATTACTGGGGCACCTGGGTGGCTCAGTCGGTTAAGCGGCCGACTTCGGCTCAGGTCATGATCTCGCTGTCCTTGAGTTCGAGCCCCGCGTCGGGCTCTGTGCTGACAGCTCAGAGCCTGGAGCCTGTTTTGGATTCTTTGTCTCCCTCTCTCTGACCCTCCCCCGTTCATGCTCTGTCTCTAAAATAAATAAACGTTAAAAAAACCTTTTTTTTTTAAAAGAATATTATTACTATTTTATAAATAGAGAAACTAGGGTTCAGGGTGCTTCTAATTAATGCCCAAGTCCTCAGAACCAGTATGTGGAAGTGAACTCAAACCAGAACTCAAAGTGAGGCTTTTTGACTCCATAGTTCTACACTGGCCTGACTTGTCTTTCAGCACCCTACAATTCCTACCCAGTAAGCACTTGATTAATATTGTTGAATCAATTGCTGAAAACCAGAATTCACATTCTACTTAAAAGACATTCTTTCATAAGGAGCATGAAGAAAAATTACTGATGAGTTAATGGTTTGCAGAAGGGTTAAAAATAAAAATAATATGAATATGTGCTATGAATATTTGTGGTTCAGCAACAGATTGGAGCCCATTCATCAACTGCACAGATACACAAGGTTTAACCAAGATACTTTTCAGTGTATTTATCCAAAAAGAATTCCAATCCAAAAATAATATCTGCAAAATAATTTGCCATGTTAGCATTTCTGGCTTGAAAATTCAATGTGCAGTGCTGGCTTTAGTTAGAAATGAGAAAACGCCAAGAAGAAATTGAACAAAAGATTTAAAGAGTTTTTTTTTTTTTTTTGCATTCAAGAGGCATTAATTATTTCTTTTCATCAAATACGATGTTACATTTCTGTTTCTGCATCCAATGGGAATCTCAAAATGCGGTTTTCTCTTTTCTCACTAAAACTATGTTGTCTCACATAAAAATATATTATCTCAGTACGTGACAACTAAGTAACATACTGGTTTTCCCTTTTAGTATTAAAAAAAAAAAATTTTATCTGAACTATAAATGTGAATTCTGAAAGTATGATTTAAATGATGATGACAGAATCTCACCATAGTCGCTTTATTGAAATCCTAAAGGCTAAACAGATTTCTGAATTCTCAGTCTCTCTTTAAAGAATGACGTTTGATCACCATTAAAAAGGTATTTTCTGTCTTTAGAATCACTATTCAGCTTTGAGATCTCAGATACTCTTAAAATCCAACAACATAATAACAAAAAAAAATCAGGTGTAACGCAAAAAGAACAAAGAGTATCCCGGAACAATTTTATTTCCACCTCTTGGCTTCCTCCCTTTGGGAAATGGCACCTAGTAACTTAAATAAACCAGCAGTGCAACTAAGGTCAAAGTCCTGGGGTGCATTTGAGTAGGGACAGAGATTCCAATGCTCTGTTTTCCGCTTTTACCCCAATCCAGAAACGAGTGGTTTCTGCTACCACCACTCTTGCTGTGTAAAGGGCTCAGAAGCAGCTGTGCCCAGGCCTTGCCAACATGACCTAAGGAAGCCAAGATGGCTCCATAAAGGTTTTGCCAGTGACCAAGCGCGAAGATATTCTTCGCAATATCTTAACACTCCTCTTTCCCTTTGAAGCAGTTTCAACTGGCCCAAAGCCAGAACCCCAACCTTCAGTTGATGGCTTAAAGACTCAATATAAAGCAGAATTATTACCTATAGAATATTTATTTTTAAACCTTTTTTAGGAACAAAAAAAATCACATGCATCTAAGACTGTACAGAAAACGATTCGGTGAAATGTCTACAAAACTGGTAGAGGGTTAACGGAATAACAAAAGGCTGGCCATTTTCTGTTTAGGTGAAAACTACCACCCAATCCTGAACCAGATCCCACGAAGTACTGAGATATGGGGGTGAAAAAAAAGTATTTTCTTTTTACAAAGCTGCCATTACTCTTCTGTTTTTCTAAACAGAAAACTGTAAAAGAGTATTTCAGAAACTCTCCAGGGAGGAAACATGTTCCTTTCAAAATCCTCACAGGAGAGAAGTCATCAGCATGGTGAGAGCTTCACTGCTTGATGTGAAACTCAAAGAGCTGGAAGAATATGGCAGCATCAGGGACAAACGGCTGCCATTGCTGATACTTTGAAACAGAGGAATTAAGAGAAATAGAGGATGAATGAGTGCTTTACTGATTTTCTTCCCTATCCTGTCTCCTCATCGTGATCGAGAATTAGCTTAAATCATAAAGATGTAATAACAGTAAAACAAATACTTCCTAAGTGACCCTTCCCAGTAAATTATCAACTGAAAGAAAAATGAAGAGAAAGGGAAGTCACCAAAGGAAAACACGCACAACGCACGCGCTTACGGAAATTACTATCATTGCACTCGGAGTTGTGAAAAAAACAACTGGGAAGAAACCTCTTTAGTTAACAAGCAAATTGTCAGATTATGTGAACTAGCTTTAACACACGAACCTGAATAGTCTGTGTATCCTTAAATTAAATCTACCTGATCGCTGTGGTTTCCATGTCTTGGAGAAAAGTCGGAAGTTGTTGGTGAGGCTGCAGAAAGTTCCCGGAGCTTTGTGTCGATTTCGGCAAGCTGCTGGTGCTGGGTGACTGCAAATGTGTATCCTTCTCCTGGGACCAGCCAGCCAGACTGATCACCCTAAAAGGAAACAAGAGTCACTGGGTCATTCCCATGCTACACTTTTTCCAAAATATCCCTTTCAGACTGCTACATCAATGCTCAGGACTTCACACACACATACACAAACACACACACACACAAACACACACATTACAAAAAAACCCACAAAATTAACATTGGGATAGTGAAAGAAAAAAATTAGTAGTTTATTGTTTCATTATCTGCCAAATCTGTATAAAGTATATTCTACATTGTATGGGTTTTTTTTTTTTTCCCCTGTGGAATAAATCTCTTGGCCTTGCAGTCTGGTTCTTATAACATTCTCATTTCTCCATTTTGAAAAAGTAGTCTGTGATATGTTAAATAGGAATAAATCATGTTTACCCTATAATCGACATGGTATTTTCAAGATTTGTCCCTGAAAAGTAACATAGGGTCTATAAATGCAGTTGTTTGGGTTTCACGAGCCTATTTATCATCTAACTCCTTATTCAACTAATATTTATGTCATAATGGGTTAAAACCCACTCATAACATTCACTCAAACATCTTGTGCTCAATGCCCACTGAACATAGACACTGCACTGGGCACTGGTGATTCAGTAGGAATCTCACAAGCTCTGCCCTTAGGGAGTTCTCAGTCTTCTGGTAGCAAAGATTTTAACAAGATATGAAGAGTGCTGGTAAGCCAAGGCGCCATGGGGACCAGTGAGGGTCAACTAACCTTTATGGACATGAAGGAGCAAGAGAGACAAAGTGGTTGGAGAAGGCTTCCTGGAGGAGATAATCAATCTTAATCACATCTTAATCAAGGAAACAACATGGCTGGCTATGCATTTTAAAACTGGAACTTGCACGGGCAAGACTGGAAACAGAAAACCCAGTTAAGAAGCAAAAGCCATAATGTGGAACAAAAGTGATGAGCTGCTAAACTAAGGAATATCTCCTGGGAATACAGAACATAGAGCAGATTCCAGAGATACTTACAAAGTAGAAATTACAGAATCTGGAGATAATTTGATGGAAGCGTGGAAGGAGGAGTAAGGATCAAAGATAAAAACCAAATTCTGGATTTTCAGAACTAGGGGTATAGTGGTCCTATTGACCAAGCTAGGGAATACAGGAGACATAATAGGTTTGAGGAAGAAAATGGTGAATTCTGTTTGAGACCTTCTGATATTTACAGATGTCCCTAGGACATCCACAGATTATGTTAGGTAGTTAAATATATCAAAATAGAGACGTAGATTGTATATAAATATTTTAGACTCACCCACCGATCTATAGTGGTTCAAACTGTTGAACCATGGGAATGGGTGAGGCCACACAGAGAAACATGTAATACAAGGACAGAAAAATCATGAAAACACTAGGAATAAAGGGGCAAGTGGAGGGTAAGGATGGTTAAGAATTTCATACACTTTGGTTTCATGACTCTAATACCAGGAATCAATCCCTAGGCAGTAATCAGAAGAGATACATGCAAAAACTTATGCAGAAAGAATTACATGTCTCCCCCTGACCCCAGCATCCAATGTCCCTTCCTGTTTCAGTGAAACCAAACACTGCATGAGACTTGGTAGGAGACAAAGCCTCATCAGACACCCCTTCTCCTCACCCACTGGCATCAAGAAGACAAGCAAATGACCTAGAATCAGCCGACCAGAAGCGAATGCCCTGGACTTGGACTCCCGAGGGAGAGAGAGAGACAGAGATGCAAAGATACAGGGGAAGTGAGGCAGTGATTGATGGTGACAACAGTGACCTGGAGGACCCAGTGTTGATAGCAGTGAGGGTGGCAATGGTGATCATCTAGCAGGGGTGTCTCATGGCTGTGAGGCAGCTCCTAACCAGCCTGTTTCCAAGGAGTTTCTGAAGCCATGTTTCTGGGTACCTTGATATCTGCCCGGGTTAGAGATGTGTTTCTCCAAACTTCCCACCGAGTCTGTGGGCTATCCAAGTTTCCCAATACATTTATTCCTTTTTTTTTTTTTTTCAACGAAGTCCATCTCTGTCCCTCGCAACCCAGAACATGGACTCAAATGTTTTTTGGCATGTCATTTACAATAAAGAACAATTGCAAAAGTCCCAAATGTCTAAAAATAGGGAAAAGTGAATAGATTGTAGTCTATCCATACAAGGATATGATACAGTAATAAACATTTTAAATACACTTATAAGTTGGTATATGAAAGCTATACATAATTATAAGAAAATATATTACTTAATTGGTCACAAATAAGAAACTTCAGTTAATTCTTCCTAAATAAAAGGGATACAAATACTGTACGATCTAAGTGAGAAATAATAGGGAGTCACAAAAAAATAAAACTATGGAACCAATGACTAAACATTGGTCAATAAATTTTAAATTTTTGTTTGAATGGAATTCTTTTTTAATGACACTGGGAATAAAAAGGATGTCAGATTAAATTCAACAGAAATGTAAATGTTTCATGCACTACGCTATAACAGAGGGAAATTATATGTAATATGTAGTAGATGACATCATGTTTTTCCATCTAGCACTTTCTAGACACCCTTGCTAGGTGTGGGAAATTTCAAGCTTTTAGAAGTCTTACCTCCCTAAGACAGAACCCAGAAAATGCTCTTAACCACCTTCCTTTACAGCGAGGGGCTCAGGTTTGTAACCGAGGATCTACAACTGAACTCACACATTCAATACTGATTTAGATATGAGTAATTTGAGATATGATGTAAAACCCATTTTGGCAGTAGAGACATTTGGTTTTGTGCCATTCATTGCAAGGATAAATTCCTAATACAGAAGGAAATCTTTTAAAAATTTTAAGTATCCTAGAGAGATTCAAGAGAATATCTCACCAACACAATTAAACATGCCACTATAAAGAACCACCCAAGGGCAAGAGTTCTGGAGAATTAAAACATAATTATCACCCTAGTCATCATCTTTCAGGTGCATCGGCTTATCAGAGATGGGGGAACAGAGAAAAGGACACACAGTGTCAAAGATACAGCAAATCTGAGGAAGGGCAAGAAATTTGGTATGGTTTAAGAATATCGTAGATGGATCCCTTCCTCAAAGTGTTCCTAAATTCTTCCTGCCACACTTCCTAACTTCTTCCTCTGAATCTGCTTCAACATGTGCCACAATCTATCTGGTTTTATAAAATTGCTGCATAAAATGTCTATCCCTGACACCAGATAATAAGACGCCACCTTTCCCCTCAGATGATGCACAGAAAAAACTCTCAGCAAATATTAGTTTACAAAACAAAAAAACTGTAAAAATAACAACAATCTCAAAAGAGGGCTACATAGCTAAATAGCAGAATAGACGTGGTTGAAACCCAACTTGGAAAACTATGAAATGAGCTTATATAAGCAAAATGACAAAAAAAAAAAGATGAAGGTTATGAGAAACATATTATTGGACCTGGAGGAGAGATAGAGGAGGTTCTCTCCCCACCTATATGCTTGTACACTGACTGATCTGATCCCCTTTTCCAATTTCCTTTTTCTGTGCCTTTCTCTGCTATTAAAATAAGAATAAGAAAGTAAGATACCTGAATCCCCAGTCTCACTTGCAGTGATGTATGAAATGAACGTGGCTACATGACACATCTTGGCTGATGAGCCGCAGGTGGAAGTCCCAGGGACACCATCCCTTCCCAAATGAAACGCAAAGCCTCAAAGGACTGTCCCTTTTCCCCTTCCCCCTTCCCTCTTCTTTCTGCCTGGAAAATGGACACATTATCTACAGATATAGCAGCAATCTTGCAAACCTAAACACAAAACCATACCAAGAATACAGAACAGGAATAAAGAAAGACACTAGCTACTTACACCTGGAGCAAAATTGTTACTGAAGCAAAATACACTCCTTACTTGCTTTTTTTAAAAAAATTTTTAATGTTTATTTATTCTTGCAAGAAAGAGACAGAGTGTGAGCGGTGAAGGACACTCAGTCAGTTGAGTGTCCGACTTCGGCTCGGGTCATGATCTCATGGTTCATTGGGTTCGAGCCCCACGTCAGGCTCTGTGCTGACAGCTCAGAGTCTGGAGTCTGCTTCCGATTCTGTATCTCCCTCTCTTTTTGCCCCTCCCCTGATCTTGCTCTGTCTCTCTCTCTCTTCCTGTCAAAAGTAAATAAACATTAAAAGAATTTAAGAAGTTATTGTATGTATCAATAATTTGCTAAAAACAAAAAAAAAAAGAAATAGGAATTTTTCAAACCATGAGAGGAAAATGGGGAGAAATTAAGAAAACAAAATAAATCTAATCAATGAAATGTCAAATAGACTGTCCAAAAAAGGCCCAAACATTATCAGTGGTCATAATAAACATATAAATTAAATATCCTCATTAAAAGATTAAGAATAAGGAAATAATAACAAAAGATAGAGAAACAATTACGGACACAACAGCAACAACAAAAACCCAGCTGTACGATAATTTGTAAATAATCTACCTAAAAACAGAAGTAAATGATAGAAAAAGAGTTTAAGGGGCTCCTGGGTGGCTCAGTCAGTTAAGCTTTTGACATCAGCTCACGTCATGATCTCACAGTCACGGGTTCGAGCCCCGCATCAGGTTCTGTGCTGACAGCTCAGAGCCTGAAGCCTGCTTTGGATTCTGTGTCTCCCTCTCTCTCTCTGCCCCTCCCCTGCTCCTACTCTGTCTCTCTCTCTCTCTCAAAAATAAATAAACATTAAAAAAAATTTAATAAAGGAGGGACAAGGCATAAATACTAACAGAAATAATATTTAAAAGGCAACATTAATAATAAAAATTTTGTTAAATCATTTCTAGGAAGAAACATGGCACACCCCACCCCCCACCAGCCACAGGCATTGCTGCAATTGAGCAGTTTTTGGACCTAGAGTCAAAACTACCCTCTGCACCTACCTCTCTGAGGTTGGTCTAGATGCAGAACCTGAGCTAGGGATTCTGGTTCAGGTGACTTGTTGAGGGAGTGCTCTCAGAAGAGAGAGGGTGACTGGAGTTCTCCCAGGAGAACTCCACCTCAGGAGAAGGGATAGGGGATGATGGAAGCAGGCTAGGACAAGAGAAACAAAACCAGGCAAGGAGGTGGTGTCGGATGAAGCCCAGCTGACCCCTGGGGAAGCTCTGAGGGACAAACTGCAGCACAGAGCTAATCCCATCTTGAGTTGGGAGGGGGTGGAGATGGAGAGAGGCTGCCATCCTAGGCAGTTCAGCCCCCAACTAGCCCATGGCAATACTCTATGGAAAAAGGCAGCTATGCACCCTTGGCACAGGGCAGGGGGCCGGATGCACGGAAGGGACTAGGTAAAAGGGATCTGGGCAGGGTGCCAGCAGCACTCACTACACCTCACCTCCAAAAACATAGGGAAAGAAGAACTAGATGACAGGGCTATGGGCTTCAAGGTACACAGGAGAATACATTTCTTTGTGGAAGTAAAGAATCTTGCTGTAAGTTTAGTATGCAAACAAGTGCAAACGCTGAGCCACCGCACCCCTTAGATGACCAGCCCAAGCCCTATAAACACCCACACCTGCAGCCTGGATTGCAGGCTGTTCCCCTCCTTGGACTGAGTCTGTGCTTCCTCCAGACTCTTCAGGGACCTGGATGCTCAAGGTTAACTGGGCAGGAGCATGATGGTGCTCTTTAGGAGTCCTGAGGACTACACCAGTGTAGGGATAATAAGAAATATTCAAAATAAAAAGAGACAGGGAAACATATTTATATGTCATTAATGACTAAGCCCATTACATCACAGGTAGCAGTTATAACTGTGAGAGCTAATGTGTAGTGACTCTTATAATAACATAAAATAATCCTCTTCAGAGTCAGTAATGAATTGACCAAGAAAAAAATCTGAAATTTTTAATGAAAATAAATTTGTAAAACACGATTTTTTAAAAGACAGAGAACATTGTCCCATAATTTAAAAACTTATTGTAAATGTGTGCTAATGTCAGTGACATTATAAAGAAAATAAATAAAAATTAAGAAGCGTAGAGGTCTCCCATCCAAGTACTAACCAGGCCAGACCCTGTTTAGCTTCAGAGATCGGACGAAATCAGGCACGTTCTTGCAGTGGATGGAACTAGAGTGTATTATGCTAAGTGAATAAGTCAGTCAGAGAAAGACAAATACCATATGATTTCATTCATATGTGGAATTTAAGAAACAAAGCAAATGAACGTAAGGGGGGAAAGAGAAGGCAAACCATAAAACAGGCTCTTAACTATAGAGAACAAACTGAGGGTTGCTGGAAGGGAGGGGGTCAGGGGGAGGGGTTATACAGGTGATGGGGATTAAGTAGGGCACTTGTGATGAGCACTGGGTGATGTAGGGAAGTGCTGAATCACTACATTCTACACCTGAAACTATATTACACTGTATGTTAACTAACTGGAATTTAAATAAAAAATTGAAACTACAAAAAAAAAAAGGAAAAGAAGAACAAAAACAAGAAGGAGAAGGAGAAGAAGAAGGAGAAGGAGAAGGAGAAGGAGAAGGAGAAGGAGAAGGAGGAGAAGGGTAGAAGTCACTGAATATCAGAGCTTACGTACCTCAGGACTGGACAGCCCCGAATCTTTGTCATCTAAGTCCTTCAAAAGTTCAGTCAGCCTTTTCTTCTCTCTGTCAATCATAAGCACTGGCATTCCTGAATCCTTAGCCAACTATAGAATGTATTAATAAAAAAAAAGTAAATATTCAAAGCAATTCATGTTCAGGAAAATAAAAGTGGGCCCTGAGGTTTCTATAGTACAGACACATTAAAGTAAAAGTTGTGAGATTAGGCATTTTTCATTTGTGACGTACATTCCAGCTATAAGCAGGCCCTCATGTTAGCCATTTCAACAACACTTTATTTAAAATATAAAACAATAAAACATGGGAAGTTTGCAAACCTCTCGTTATATATCAATGTAATAACTTATCTGCTGAGGTATTTGGAAGGATCTTGCCACTTCCTATGTGGCATATATCTACTGACTGAAACTGCTTTTATTTATTTGTTTTTATCTGTGATTTTTAATTATCTTAAGCCTTACTACATAATTTACACATGTGTGCTGATGGCATATGTCCTCTACTTTAATCCTTCTAATGAGTTGGCAAAAGCACCATTAGCAATCACACATATGTGGTATTTCTACAGTTGCGTTATTGAAGGGCTGTTTAAAAGACAATCCTGAATTATAACTTAGTCTGACTGAGTGAAGAATTCGCAAGCAAAGTTCGCTACTATAGTGTGACAGGTCACACTAAATTTTAAAAATATCTGGCCTTACAGCTCATCTATAAAACGTGAGAAGTGTTAAATATTCTTTGTTTGGTATTATACATAAGCCACATGAAAATGTGTTTAATTAAGCAAAAGGTAGCATTTTAGATGCCGTGAACTTTAATTAAATCGGCAGTTAGGACCAAAAAGATAAAGTGGATGTTGCCAGCTTCAGCCCTGGCCTTTTACAGGCTAACTAACACAACAGTAAAACCCAGCTGAGTCTTGCTGTTTGTTGGGAGAGTAAAGGGATTTCCTCAGTATTTAAATAAAGATAACAAGTTATATAATTCTAAGTATTAAACCCATCTCCTACAGGTTTAGAGATGGCAGTTACCATCTCTGTGAAAAGTTGAACATTACCAATCGATTCCAACCCTATCTTTCAAGGGGGAAAAACAGGGACAGCACTGGTAATTCTGGTAATTCTGAACCAGGATTACTATCCGAGTTCAAAAAGCTGATCAGATTCACTTAACCACAAGCCAATCGTACTTAAATCAGGACTGTCCAAAAGGAATAGTCTGTCAGCCATTCCTGATCCAAATTCTGGTGTCTGAGATCAATTTAAATATGGTACACATAAAAGAAGTCATGAGACATTTGGTTCTGTAATAAATAAGCAGTGGCCAACGATTACTCCTTAGTAGCTTTTTTGAGATAAACTATCAAGTCTGTCCTCTCCCTTTGTCTTCTTAAAGCCAGCGAAGATCAGTTTTCTTCCAGGGATGTACTTCTTGGGATTCTCCAACTACTCCATCAGTGTCTCCTCTCCCCAGGTGATGTCTTTATTCTTGTTGGCATCCGTGTAAGAAACTCCGGGGGCCTGACTTGTCTCTCACCCAAACAGACCATGGGCCCTTGTCTCATTCTTGTGCGTCCCTCCCCTTTCCATGGTATGGCACTGGGCACGCTACTGAACAAAGTTCTTCTTGCCCTACGCAACATCATCCATCGTAAAGTCACTCTTTCGTCGCACCCAAAAAGAAGTGCCCGCTTGCAAGCTGCACATCCTGCTGTCTCCTAAATGAAATTGCTTTGACATTTCAAGAGCGTCATATAGGAAATTTGAACAAAGATTCAGCGACTGTTGTTAAAAGGGGAAAAGGGAAATCTATGCGGGGGGGGGGGGGGGGGGGGGGGGGGCTGCTGTGTCAGCAAGAACCCCGGGTGTGGGGAAAATGCTACTGCTCTTGGCAAATTAAATAAATCAACATAAAATGGGCCAGCACAGAGAGATCGGGTTGGAGGTTTCCTTCAGATCAGACGAACATAAAGAGAAAAACCAGAGGCCCAGAGGCCAGTCCTGGCAGTGGCACATTGACGCACAAATCTAGTCTACCTGGAAATGACGTGGCAGTTGTGGAAGAAGCATCAGGCTTGAACTGGGAGGAATTATTTAACTCTCTGCTCTTATGAATAACTTTACACTCACCAATGCAGTTTTCTAGTAACCTGACTGCCTGAGTGGTTTGCCACAAGCCTTCTGCCCACTGCACCTACATTTCTTACCGTTAATTAATTAATCAGCATTCTGGTCTAATAGGGGAACCCCTTTTCCCTTGGTTAGTTTGCCTTAAGGACACCAAGTCAGGCTGTAGGGTCTGGAAGATCAAGGTTGAAATAATCAAGGCAAGTGACAAGTGATAGGCTTCCTGGAGGCTCAGCTGGAGAGGTCAGGGGACAGACAACCAACTGGCCTCTCCAGCTGTGCCAGGAGCATTTTCCATGCAAATTGCTAAATGCACCAGCTATAACATCAGTCTCATTACTTTCAAAAGCCAATTTTACTAATATGCAATTTAAAATCTGGGAAGCATTGTCTGACGCTATTACCTAAATAAATGTTTTTCAAATTGCAAGAACCGGATTCATTTCTGGGTAGTGAAATAAACGTATTGAGTTGCAGCTAGCATTTTTAAAAGAGGTAGAATAAGATAGGATGGAATTAAAACTAGTAAAGTTAAGTACTGGTCCATAAAATTTTTCTTTCATTTATATAGACTGTTTCAATTACATACATATGTGTCATGATCAAAAAAAAATATATTTAAAGACACTGAACACAACTATTTTCATTTTCATAACTCATTTAATCCCATATTCTGGTTTCTAAATTTCTAAGTACATACCTCAATGTTTCGTTTAATAAAATCCTGGCTGTGTTTACCCCTGAGCTTAATCTTTTCTGTATTTGAGAAAGGTTTCTTTTCTGCTCTGATCAATGACTCATTTCCTTCCACATCATAGGTAAAATCTAATATTAAAAAAAGTTCAAAAGTTTTCATAATTATAATTGTCCATTATGCTACAATTTTACCTTATACATACATTTAAAATATATAACACACATAGAAAAACTTCCAAACTCCAAATCCAGAAACCTAATATACATATGGAGATTTATTCTTATGGGTAAAAAAGATATATAATACATACACACACTCACACACATGAATATTACTCAGCCATAAAAAATAGTAAGATCTCGCCATTTACGACCACACAAATGAACCTAGAGGAATTATGCTAAGTGAAATAAGTCAGACCAAGAAAGACAAATACCATATGATTTCGCTCATATGTGGAATCTAAAAAGCAAAACAAATGGATAAACAAACAAACAAAAGTCAACCAGAACGCTTATATAGTGGGAGAGTAAAGATGGTCTCCGGCGGGGGGGGGGGGGGGTGGGTAGGAGATGGGCAAAACGGGTGAAGAGGAGTGGCAGATACAGGTTTCCAATTATGGAATGGATGGGTCACAGGGATGAAAGGCACAGCGTAGGGAATCGAGTCAATGACATCATAATAGCGTGGCATGGTGGCCGAGGGAGCTACACTTGTGAGTGTGGATTAACATATAAACCTGTCAAATCACTATGTGGTACATCTCAAACTAGCATAACATGTGTGCCACCTATACTCAGAGGAAATTAATTAATTAATACAATATATTTTATCTTAGTCTTTATATGAAGCAAAACTTCCCCAAAAGACTAGAGTCATCTATCCTGTGATTCTATTAATATGCCAGCACCCTCTCTGAACAGTAAGTGTTTGTTCACACCTGTCTTTTAAGCAAGGTCTGGGCATAAGTGTCCTGGATGTTCCACATCCCATCCGCACAAAGCCTTACAGCTCATGTCACTTTGTCAGTTTTTCCCAACCTTTGAAAAGAGGCCTGAGTCACCTTCTGACCCTGGGTGCTCAAAACAAGGGTGAGAAAAATACTTATGGACTCTTATTCCCTTCACTAAATATCTTTCTTCACTGTCGTCATGTTCAAAGCATTTAAAGCAAGATCATGTGAAAGCTTCTTTAAAGCTCTAAAAACAGGCATAGGGAAGACTTTTCTTAAGTGACAAATGGAATCTACCCTACAAATCAGGACAAATGGCCACATTAAAGTCCAAGAGGGAAAAACACCAACCAGCAGCTCAACACAGACAAGGTTTGCTTAAAAGTTATCTGGGCCTTATAAGAGAGGGTACATCAATAAAAAGGACTAAGGAAGCTAGTAAGTTGGCATATTTATAGCTAATTATCAAAGATTCAACACAAATTTAATAATTAAAGAATATATTTTGATAACAATACCTAGAAAGAACCGGGAAGAGAGTAAGATCTCTGGATTTAAATTCTTTTCAAAGAAAAATAAATTTGAGTAAGAAAAAAGTTTCACTCAAATTTAAGTTACAAGTGTCTAGGCAAATAAATCTGGGCTTTATTATTGGGATTTTATTTCTTTAATCAATAATGTTTCTTAATTAACTACCAATAGTTAAAGTACGAGTTACTTTTTTGGTGCATGGCCTCCTTAGATACAAAACAGAACTTTTCCCCATATTACAACTTGTATATAGTCTTTTGAGCTGAAATATAAAGTCTATTCATTCCGTCAAAATTTCATATACTCTTAAAAATACAATATTAAGATAACTCATATTAAATGCATCCACATCTACATTTATAATGATTTCTTTAAAATACACTTTCAATAAACTATAGTAAAAACATTGGACTGCCTGGTCAGAACTGTCTCACTAGAAATGTCCTCTTCTCCCCATCCTGGTGGTGATCAACAGGAACAGAAGTTTCCATGTTTCTATAGTAACCTCAACCCTTGCTCGGTTTGATGAGTTGGTTGGACCAGTGGTAAGCATTTAACCCAAGCTGGATCAGTTGGTATCTTCTCTGCAATTCTGGCACTGAGTTTCCCTCTCAATGATTAACCACAGAATATGCTTTTGGGAATCAAAAAAGCTGTCTACCTCCAGGATTGTTTCCATAAATTTTCTTTTTTGCTTAAGTTAGTTTTCCATTACTTGCAGCCAGCTTTTCTTTAACTCTTTATCATATAAAATTTTAAATATCCAAAAGTAGAATGAATGCTATGATAAACCCTCAACAACTAACTTCAACAATGATTAATGCATGACCAATCTTGTTTCATCTTGATTCATTCAGTCACTTTCACCTGCCTCTGGATTAAATCAGATCAAATCATTTCATTTGTGAATATTTCTATATATAGCTATATTTCTTGTGACAATATGCAAAATCACACAAATTAAAACATACCTTGATTGACATTCTGTTTACGGTTTTCATATTCTTCTGGAGGGACTTGAGTGTGAAACACTGAGAAAAAGGTGTCTTCATGCTCATAGCAAGAAGGGTCTGTTGATTTAAAAACTCACTTGTTCAATACACAAAATAAGTGGGAAAGTGTCTACATGAACAATTGTTTAAACGTTACATCTAATATTCTCTGCAATATTCCTCAATCCCCTCCACATATACATTTCTTAAAATGTCACTTCCAAGTAGAAATTATAATTATCTTTGTACACTTTAGCCATTGAAATGAACAGGAGAAAATCCAGATAGTCAAAAAGCATTTCCCTAGAACTTCTGTGCAAAGAAGATGTACAAGTGTGTGCTAAAATATCGCTTTAACTCCCTGGAATTAATGTATCCAAATCCCAACATTCATATTATAGAGAATACGCACACTGAGTAACTTTGTATTTTTCTTTTTGTTTTAGGTCCCCAAAGTAAAGATTTCAGATATAGGGTTAGTCATCAAGATAAAAGCATTGTGTTGGGAATGCAAACTGGTACAGCCACTTTGGAAAACAGTATGAAGTTTCCTCAAAAAACTAAAAAATATAACTATGCTTCAACCCAGCAACTGCACTACTAGGCATTTATCCATGGGATACAGGTGTGCTGTTTCGAAGGGACACATGCACCCCCATGTTGATAGCAGCACTATCAACAATAGCCAAAGTATGGAAAGAGCCCAAATGTCCATCGATGGATGAATGGATAAAGAAGATGTGGTATATATATACAATGGAGTATTACTCGGCAATCAAAAAGAATGAAATCTTGCCATTCGCAACTATGTGGATGGAACCTGAAGGTATTATGCTAAGTGAAATTGGTCAGAGAAAGACAAATATCATATGACTTCACTCATATGAGGACTTTAAGAGACAAAACAGATGAACGTAAGGGAAGGGAAACAAAAATCATATAAAAACAGGGAGGGGGACAAAACAGAGGAGACTCATAAATATGGAGAACAAACAGAGGGTTACTGGAGAGGGTGTGGGAGGGGGGATGGGCTAAATGGGTAAGGGGCACTAAGGAATCTACTCCTGAAATCACTGTTGCACTATATACTAACTAATTTGGATGTAAATTTTAAAAAATAAAAAATTAAATTAAAAAAAGAAAAAAAAAGATAAAAGCATGTGTTTGAAAGAGAAAACCGGAAGACTCTTAGCAGTTAGGTTTCTTCCTTTTAGGATTTACACTCTTGGGCTTACACCCATAAAGAAATTAGGAAATTGTGTTTTTCAACTCTTGTTTCAATGTAATTTATTTTATTTTCTCCTATTTAGCTAATTGAGACATTAGATATTTGTAAGAAACTGCTAACATAAATAAGTATCCTATTTTTTTTAAGTCTCTTTCTATGTCTTAACGTGAGAAACTGCCAGGTTGTGGCAAAGAAATATTTTTGCTTCCGAAACATGATGAATCTTAAAGATGTTACAGGATCCACCACCTATCTTTATTTTTTTTTTTTAATTTTTTTTCAACATTTATTTATTTTGGGGACAGAGAGAGACAGAGCATGAGCGGGGGAGGGACAGAGAGAGAGGGAGACACAGAATCGGAAACAGGTTCCAGGCTCTGAGCCATCAGCCCAGAGCCCGACGCGGGGCTTGAACTCACGGACCGCGAGATCGTGACCTGGCTGAAGTCGGACGCTTAACCGACTGCGCCACCCAGGCGCCCCCACCACCTATCTTTAAAGCAAACTTGATTCAAGCACCTCTTTGAGATGATACAGGCAAAGGAAGTACACAGAAGATACATTCACCCCAACATACAAATATCACCAAATTCAAAACATACAACTTCTGATAGTAAAAAGAAATGTATCAATTCCAGTTCCCTAATTTGGAATTCATAATAATGTAGCATTGTTGGAATTGTCATTCCAACTTTAATCCCACACAATCTTTGAAGAGGAGTTAATCTAGCAAATCAGTGGTATAAGCCTTGAGTGGAAGAGGGATAAGCTACTTTTGTGGAAGAGACAAAAAGGTTTAAAGTTCTTGTCAAGTGGTAGTATATTTATTTTTCATCCCATAATTCCTTCTTAATAGGAGTTTCACTCACTTTTACACTGAAGCATGTATAAAGATGCAAAAATATGAAATCTTGCAATACTAAAAACTATTACAGCAAAGTGATATTTGGAGATTTTTAAACTAAGGCCTTTTCCGAGGCTAAAATTATTCTTGTGACTCTGTGGCTCTTTACCCATATTCTCAGCGGTATTCTGTATATTCAGTACCTCAGAGAGAAAGTAAGTACAGCCTAGAACAAAGGCCTGATAGCTCAGCTTTGAGTTTAAAAGACAACAGTTTTGGAAGTCTGGTATTCAATTGCAGAAGCTTAACTCCTCAAGAGAAAAAAACAAAAAGCATCTTCTGAATTTCCAAATTCCTCCTTTAGAAAGCTCTTCCTTACAGTAAGGAAACAACTGATTACTATAAAGGAAATGTCAGAACTAGAAAACAGCCATTGGGGGTGGGGGGTGGTGCCTGGGTGGCTGAGTCGGTTAAGTGTCGGACTCTTGATTTTGGTTCAGATCATGATCTCACGGTACATGGGATAGAACCCCAAGTCGTGCACTGACAGTTCAGAGCATGCTTAGGATTCCCTCTCTTCCTCTCTCTCTTCTCCTCCCCTGCTCATGCATGTGTGCACTCGCTCTCTCTCCCAAAATAAATAAACTTTAAAAAGAAGAGACAAGAAAAGAGCCATTGGGTAACCATCATAATAATACTAGATTCAGATAAGAATCACCAGTAGATGATAAAAGCAGCAGGTGAAACTTTGAAGAATGACAGAATAGCTTCAGAGTATATCTCCACGAGAGAACTTACTCAGTAAAAAAGGAAAAATACTAACTTTACAGTGGAGAAACCTGGAAGACACCACTTCAACCAAGTGATCAAGGTTAACCTTACAGTGATGGGACAATCGACATCATGTACTTTCTGCTAGGATCCCTGGAGGACACAGTGGGATTCCTGCCCAAAATGTATAACATGAACCTAAGCTTGTGGAAATGTAAACAAACCCAGACTGGGGAACAACCTACAAAATATCAAGCCTATGGTCTTCAAAAACGCCAATGCCGTAAAACACAAAGAATGACCAAAGAGACATGACAACTAAATTATTTTGTTACAAAGGATTTTAGCGGGACACTTGGCAAAATATGAATAAGGCCTGTAGATTGAATAATAGTATTGAATCAACATTAATTACCTGATATGTGCATGTGTGTGTGAACACATATGTCCTCGTGTGAAGAGAGAGACAAATCTATACAGAGAGAGACAGAGACAGACAGAGACAGAGGAGGATGTGGTAAATGTTAACACTTGGAGAATCTGGATAAAGGGTCTTGAAAACTCTTTGTACTTTTCTTGAGACTTGACGTCTGAAATTATATCAAAATTAAATTTAATAGGAAATTTTTAATAATTCCTCTCTTCACTAGAAACATTTATTCAGGGGGAGTTGGGGGAATCTCCCTTCAGAGATCAAGAGCCAGAGTGTGAGGGACTGAGCACATTTTAAATAAGAGCCTTACAAGAGAAAGATCGCAGGATGTGATTTTAAGTTGTTTCCTGCCTCCTAAGGAAGAAATCAAAGCCCATCCCACACGGTGCAGAAGGACCCAGAAGAGCATCGGAGGAAATGAGGTTAGAGTAGATACAAGTGACACAAGTGTGAAGCTGCTTCCTGGTACACATTCCCTTGGAGGTGGGTGAAATCCTGAAGTTGGATTGAGACACCTCCCCACACACACCCAAAGAAAACAAGGAAAGCCAGGTGCCTCACTGCACACTTGGAACTCTGAAAGAAGACTCCACACACAGTGCTCCACATTTACACGTGACAGCTGCAAAGCAGCAAAGGCAGTGTGCCACGTTTAGAGGGAGACAGGGCCTGAAATTCATTTTCTCTCTCTCTCTCTCTCTCTCTCTCTCTCTCTCTCTCTCTCTCTCCCTCTCTCTCTCCCCCCCTCCCTCTCTCTCTCTCTCTCTCTCTCTCTCTCTCTCTCTCACACACACACACACACACACACACACACTTCCTCATGGCTGGCCTATGGTATGGAGATCTAGAAATTCTCACTTACCCCTGTGAATTAGATGAAGCCCTCCCCCATTGCACGTCATTATGCCAACCAAAACTGCACATACCCAAATGTCCCTTACAATTGAGAACTATTCTATTAGACTATCATTTCAATAAATTCAAAATATCAAAGCAATGACCGTAATATTATACGTTGCTATATTAGCTTTTAAAATATAGGGCTTATAAAAAATTCTAGAGAACAAGGGAAAGGCACCATCATTTTCCACTGAACTATTAGATCAATAAGGAAACAAGAACACAATAACAATAGAGAATAGTGAGAACACCATAAAGAATGCACTTGGGAGGTAAAGCTATTTTCAGAAATAAATTCATAGCAGTGATGCTTTTATCATATTGCTACAGACTGAATTGTATCCCTTCAAAATCTGTAGGCTGAAGCCCTAACCCTCAGTGTGACTGTACTTAACAGGGCTGTTAAGGAGGTAATAAAAGCTAACTGAAGTCACTGGATGGGGCCCTAATCCAATAGAATTTATGGCCTTCCAAGAACAGGAAAAGACAGCAGAGATAACCTTTACCACTTCCGCCACTTCTCTGGAGCACAGAGAGAAGGCCATGAGGACACAGTGAGAAGGTGGCCATCGGCAGGCTGGGAGGAGCGACCGCACCACAAAATGAATTTTCCAGTATCTTGGTCTTTGACTTCTAACCTCCAGAGCTGTGAGCAAATAAGTTTCTGCTGTTTTGAAGCCACCCAACCTGTGGAATCTTTCTATGGCAGCCCTAGCAGACTGATATGCAGATTTTAAGGCAAAATAAAATGAGCTTAACTAACTTGACTAAAGAAGCTAGAGAAAACAATAGCAAGGTCAAAAAAAGAAGAAAGAAATGAGCCAGAATTAGCAAAGAAATTCAAAGCTGGCTCCTGAAGGTAGAAAAATCTACAAGTGTAATTTTAAAAAGAGAAAAAACAC